CCCCGCCTCTAAAAATTAGCTGGGAGTTGTGGTGGGCGCCTATAGTCCCAGTTACTTGGGAGGCTGAAGCAAGAGAATCTCTTGAGCCCAGAGTTTGAGGTTGCTGTGAGCTATGATGCCATGGCACTCTATCCAGGGTGACAAAGTGAAATTCTGCTTCAAAAAAAAAAAAAGAATGTGAAGCCCAAAGATGTTACGAAACTTTCCTAGGGACACAGGGCTAGAAAATCAGCAGAGCTAAGACTTGAACCAGGTCTTTCTAACCGCAGACCCTGAGTTTGCAAGATTAGTGCCTTCAGGGTGAAATAGAGGGATCTTACTGCTTTGGTTCTTTGGTTTGTTATTTATCCAGTGAAATTTGGAATGCTGCCAGGGAAGAGATGCAGGCTACATTATGGGTGAAGACTGGCTTCAAGCAGGCACTTTTGGTGCCTATACCAAATGCAAAAAGAGGGCATTACTCTGGTGTTCACTTACTTAGGTCTATGCATAAGCTCTTGTTTTTTTAGACTCCTCATTATGCCATCTAAGGCAGACTCAGAGGCCAGGCGCAGTGGTTCATGCCTGTAATCCTAGGTCACTGGGAGGCCAAGGTGGGTAGATTGCTTGAGACCAGCCTGAGCAAGACCAAGACCCCCATCTCTACGAAAAACAGAAAAATTAGCTGGGTATTATGGCAAGCACTGGTCCCAGCTACTAGGGAGGATGAGGCAAGACTATTTTACTTTACCCTAAGAATTAGAAATTGCTGTGGGCTATGATGCCATGACACTCTAGCCAGGGCGATTGAGTGAGACTCTGTCTCAAAAAAAAAAAAAAAAAAAAAAAGGAAAGAAAGAAAGAAATCACACTTAGTATCTTACCCCCAGATCCTCATTCATCTCATCCCCACTACCTTCCTCACAGACTTAAGTAAGATGCCAGTCTCTGTGTGAGCACTTAACCTTCTTCTACCCTCATGATAATTCTGCAAGGAGGCACAGTTATTGTACTCATTTTAGTTATTTATTTTTTTTGAGGCAGAGTCTCACTATGTTGCCCTTGGTAGAGTGTTATGGCATCATAGCTTCCAGCAACTTCAAACTCTTGGGCTTAAACGATTCTCTTGCCTCAGCCTCCCAAGTAGCTGGGACTACAGGTGCCCACTACAATACCCGGCTATTTTTTTGCTGTAGTTGTCATTGTTGCTTAGCAGGCCCAGGCCAGGCTCCAACCTGCCAGCCCTGGTGTTATGTGGCCAGCATCCTAACCACTGAGTTACAGATGCCGAACATATCGTCTCAAAAAAGTTCAGTCATAGTGTCACAATGGCAGTGGCAGAGCTTGGATAGGAACACCAGTCTGTGTGATTCTACAGGAGGGGCAATGGAGCCCCCAACTCAGCCCTGGCTCCAGGTTAAGCGCTCTTACTCCAAGCTCCTCAGCCCTTTTCTGAGGTCTCCCTCTGTTGTCCTCCTAGATCGAATGGAGATGGCAAGTTCCTTTGGCTCCCAGCTCATCACTCTCATCTTTCTCCAGCTCCAGCTGCCTGCTGGCCTGTCAGGTAGGAGTTTCTTTTTCTTTTTTTTTTTTTTT